GTGTGGTAAATAATGTTGAGACAGATAACTCAAAATTTGGCAATATTTTATATTTATTATATATATTCTGATTTCAATAAATTAAACAATACAAATAGAAATGTCTAATGCATTGGACAGTAAAACCTTTACCATTATTACAAAGTCTACGATTTTGACCATATTATCCCTTACATGTATCCTTGATTACTTAGTGAATATAAATGGCTTGCCTAAAAAATATTAGTAAAACCCAGTTACATGTATATGTTGATGAGCTATAGATGGTATGAGACTTCTTTTTGTTTGTTTGTTTTTTGAGACAGAATCTCCCTGTAGCCCCAGCTGGCCTGGAAATGCCTTATGTAGACCAGGCTGGTCTCCATCACATAGATACCTATCTACCTCTGCCTGTCTAGTGCTGGGACTAAAGGTATGGAACACAACGCACAGTTAAGACTTTTAATAAATAAGAAAATAATGTTAGATGAAGTTAAGACACTAATACAATGGTATCTTACTGTTGACTAAATTTTTTCCATAAAACACAGTTATCTGAAGTAATTACATACATTATTAGAGTCAAAAAGATGTCTACCTGCCCAATTCACAAGCACACAGATGTTATTAAATTAGTAACTGATAGAAAAAGAAAGTGGCTATGTGTAACTGTGGCATAAAGAATGGCATAGAGAAATATAAAAGAATGGTCAGAGGATTAGGCTTAAATGGTTTTGATTTACATCCTCGAGGTCTTTGTAAGAAAGGTAAAAGCACTTGAATTTGCCTCCATGGGCAGTAAAAAGCTAATAGCAAGTTTCATGTAGATGAATGAAATTATTTAGTTTGCTTCTTTAGAAAGATTTAATTAGCCTTCTCTATAGTGACAGAGCCCATAGGCCATATGAGAGGTATATGAAAGGGTTTATTGGGGGGAACTGGCTTACTTGTCCTCTAATAGGCTGTCTGCAAGGTGGAGAACCATGAAAGTCAGCAATGTTACTGTGTGGAGATATGAACCTGAAAACCAATCAAACAAACGGTGAACTCAGTCCACAGCTGAATGTGCAAGGGCATGGAGGCCAGGAATGTGTGAGCACCAGAGCACGAAGACTAGAGAACCTGCAGTTCTGAAAATTGGAAGAACAGAGTAGTGCTCCAGTCCTGGTAAACTAGATGGTTCTCATACTGAGAGTGGAGTGTCCCCACTCAGCCACAAGCTCAATATCAATGTCTTATGAAAAAACTCTCATGGATCACCACAGGGATCACTTCTTCTCATCAAATGCAAAACACCTGGGCTTCCCTTTCAGTAGAAAAGGATAGGGTTAGTACCTACTCAAACATCGATAATAATTAATACAATGACTGAGAATGAATAAATGAGTATTTTACCAGCTGAGTATTCCTTAATTCAGTTAATTTGACAACCAAAATTAGCCATCACAGAATAGATGAAATGTAGGCCACAAGAGTCAGTTACAAAGCAATAGTACTAATATTAGAAAAAAAGATACTGGCATTAGTTTAAGTAGTCATAGTAGCAAAAAGTAGATTGTCAAGATATTTCACAGATGAATAAATCTATACATTCTCCATGAGGCATGGTGAGAGAGAGTGGGGAGCAAGTGGGACTTTGCCTCTGCCTTGGAAATGATAGTAAAATAATGGTTTCTATTCAATGGCATACACTTTATGAACCCTTTCATGTATAATTTGCTTCAATGTTTCAAAAATCTGGGATAATTAGCATGTGCTAATTAACAAATGGGGCTTATACAGCAATTTACAAAGGACCTGATCACTAGTAAATGATCTCTATGTAGCATGCTATATGACCAGGCATTTTCTGAGTTACCAGGTTTTCCTCATAAAATAGAAAAATTACTTGTGTCTCTCTCTTCCAATGTACAAGTGTATGTCTCTACTGTATTAGATAATCCCAATGTGAGAATAATGGACTTTTTCTATAGCTTGTTCAATGGGAATGTGCGTAGTTGGGTCTCTGTGTTTCTGTAAGCAAAGTACCTTTAATACACATGTGAATCAACTGAGGATCCTGAAAAACTGAAGGTTCTAATTCAGAGGGTTTGGGGTAGCACCTAAGATTCTGCATTTCTAACAAGTTGCCTAGGTAATGTCAATGCTATTAGAAGCCCAGATAACAGATTTGGGGAGTAAGGAAGGAAGGAGGGAAGGGAAGGAAAGGGAAGGGAAGAAAGAAAAAAGAACAGGAAGGATAAGGTCACATACATTTTTGCTGAGGCAGGTGTACCACTCTGAGCCATTAAAATGGATTTGATTTCAGTTTTAAAATCCCAACCATTTTCTTGCAGGTTTGAAGGTATCACTGATGGTACGTGTTCTTCTCAGTAATATAACCGCATTCCATGTCTGTCTCTGTTGGCAAACAGCCCTCCAAAACATGTCAGTGGTCCTTTTCAAGAAGAGCTCTCATAAAGAACCACTTCATTGTTAGTTGTTCATTAATAGCTCTCTTACTGACAACTTGGATGCATGCCTCTTAATTTTGCAAGTATTTTAAAATGAAAATCACTTCCAAAGCATTCCAAATACTTCTGGCCAAATGTCTGCTTGGAAGCAGAATTCTCAACTCTCCTCCCACAGGTCTTTTCTCTTATGATTCTGTAGTCTTGTGGATTTCCTTAATAGTCAAAAATTCCACAACATAATCCATGTGTGTTGAAAGACATCTGAAATCACTGACATGCCTCAGGGTCTCCGGATTAAGCAACTATCAAGTTTGCCTTTATGTAATTGGGCCTAAGAGGTGATCTTCCATTTAGGTTCATTTGAAAACAGATTCTCTGTTCTTTTTCTCCTCCTCCATTCTTCTATTCCTTCATAGAGGAAATACATTTATGGTTTGGACATGTTTCACAGAGTTCATATTTTCATCTCCCCTGGAATTTACCCAAGCTGAACTCCAAGAGGTAGACAATACCTCTTTGTATATACATGACAAAGAAGGTAATATTGAATGCAATGGCTGAATTTATGAGATGCTAAGGACTCCAGTAACCTTGGAGAAAGAAAGGTTCATATTTGCTGTTCGGCAGCTAAAAGTCCTTTTCCTCTGTGTACGCTCAGCAGCTATCTGAGATGCGTAGAAAACTAGAGTAACCTGAGCTGGCACCAATTCCTCAATAAATCCAGAGAGCAGAGAGAGAGAGTCGGGAATCTTTACTATGGAATACTTGAGATTCACACACGCACCGTGAGGACTTTTGGGAGGGTTGTGACCTTAGTTGGACAGCTCCAGCTAAAACACACTCAGCTGTGTGTAACGGCAGGCTTGCTCTTCTTATGCTCTTGCTCTGCTCCCCCTGTTATGAACTTCTCAGTTTGGCTGTGCTAATGGATTCCTCATTTAAAGTTTTCAGTACCACAACTTTAGTTCTCCTAATGTGATTTCACTGTAGTTAGGAGTTCAATATGCATCAGAATATGCCAACAGGTGAACTCATACCCAACCCTGCTGTCTCATCACTATCTCAACAAGAGGTGCATCCAGTTCAGACACCCCACTGCCCTCTTAAGGAATCTGTGTAAGTCTGTCTCACCAAAGAGGGCCCATGCTTTCCCTCCCAGGTTTAAATGTACCCACAAAGAGTTAAATAGCGTGCATTGGGTTACACAGACTGTGGGTGATCCAACTGGGAATAGATCCGAGGAAACTTGGCTTCCAGGCCAGTATGCCACACGCTCATCAGTTTGATGTTTGTGAATTCACATGGTACTTATCCTGCTGGAACATGTAGAGAGGACAGTCCCATTAGCAGACTGAACATGCCAGTTTATGTTAAGTGACGTTCAAACTGAGCAGTGTGTTTTCCAGGAACCTATTCTGACTGATCCTAAAAGGTCCGTATTTTGTTAATGAGAAAATCACCCATTACAATTTTGAGGATGTTTTCAATACAGATTACAATGGTATTTCCATTCTTGGCTCTGGCTTTGCATCACATGGATTTTTTTTCAGTGACAGCTTTTTAAGCAGACCCTTTTGACTGTCGGTGGCTGCTGCTGCTGCTGCTGGATTCTACATGGTCTCAGCACTGTGCCCTCCAATAATCTGATTGAGAAGCTCAGCTGTTCTCTGTTTAAAATTTCAACTATATGCTTCTAAACCTGAAACAGATGTTACCTTGGCTTCTGCCATTTACTGTGAGTTTAAACTCATATTTTGTACAGAGCAGGTAGAAAGCAGGTAATCTGCTGACTTTACTATATTAGAGGAAGAAAAAAGAGGGTGGAACGAGAGACAGCGAATAAACACATAAATTATATGAATACAGCCACATAGAGACAGAGAGCACAACCACTCGAGCATCTATTATCCTAATATCATACGCTATAGTCTGGCTGCCACTGATTTGCCTGGCATTCCTCTTGAACCATATTTGTGGCCACCCAGATGAAGTGTGTGAGCCGGTCTCTTGATTTAATATCAGCTTGCTCTTTTCAGCTCCTATGTCATTTGCTGCCATTAAAAAAAAAAAAAAATGCACTGCTTGTTACTCAGCCGTCTGTGTTTTCAAGAACTCCCGGTCTGTTAACATTTTTTCTTCTTTCTTTCCTTCTCCTTTTTGTATGGCAATTAGGGACTAGAAAATATTAAGTAAAAACATTAACCCCACAGGAAAGGTGGACATTCGGAGAAAAGGGGGTTGTCTCTTCTGGTTTCTACTTTGTAAGCTGTGGGTATGACTCAATTCCCTCACCACCCACATAAAAACTTTGCCACCCAATCACTGTTTTTTTTTTTTCTATCCCAAGCCCCTCCCCTTGGATTTTGGCTAAGAGAGACCCTGAGAGAGCCTGCCCTTTCTGGACGTTGCAAACTGTGACATATAAAAGCTGCTAGCTGCTTCTGTAGCCAGCAACTTTCAAACCTTGCAGGCTTTTGCTCTCTGAGAGCTTGTAATAAGACACACTCCTCTTACAAGAGTTCATGCTACACCAAAACAAAGAACCTTAAATTTTTGGAGGAACAGTATATTCATTTTGGCCTTGTACAGAGGTAAGCTATTTGGCTCAACTAGATTATATTGCATGTGTTGATTTTAAAGTAGCTCACATATTTTTAGCAACAAAGCTGGATTAGTGTACTCCTTTTTGTGTGTGTTCTATCACTTGGTGTGCAGAATGTCTGGTAGACATTGTCAGCACATACTCTGTGGCTCCCTGCAATGTATTTTTCCTTTTCACTCTCAAGGTGAACCTCAATTCCTGAGTCTCTACTGGAAACAGATGTACATCAAAGTTAGTCTGTAGTTCTGTCATTTGGAACAAAAGGTTCCCATTCACTTTAGGATGAGTAGTCATGTGGTTTTATTTTTTTCTCTATCTCTAGAAAGTTCCTCTGGGTGTGGGTGGGGTCCTGATTCACATGTAGGAGAATGAGTGCAAACCCCTCCATAGGTTGTCTTTCAAGCTTGAGTTCAATAGTTTTGGATTTTTGGAGAATGTCGACCCAAACAATGCTCCTCAGTGATGACTGTAACTTCATACCCTCTGGCTCCTTGATTGTAAGGACCCTAACTCTACCTTTCTACTTTAAAGCAAAGCAAGCCTGGTGGACTCTTCTCCACCCCTCAAAATGATAGCAATCTCTGCCGTCAGCTGTGTGCTGCTCTTGTCCCTTCTCTGTGAAGCAAGCACCATCGTCTTACTCAATTCCACTGACTCATCTCCGCCAACCAATAATTTCACTGATATTGAAGCAGCTCTGAATGCACCACTAGAGTCTGCGGATATCCCCAAAGCAAGGCGGAAGCGCTACATTTCGCAGAATGACATGATCGCCATTCTTGATTACCATAATCAAGTTCGGGGCAAAGTGTTCCCACCAGCAGCAAACATGGAGTATATGGTAAGTGGAATTCTTTTTACTTTGAGTTTGAGTGAGAAAGCTTTACTTTGCATGTTAGAAGGACCTAAACGGGTCGTGAGTATTTGTATGCCAAGGTGCATGGAGTACATGTTTGAAATCAGGAAAAGGTTTATGTGTCTAATCATATTTAAAATCTGTTCTTTCATAGAATTGATGTGGTGAGAAAGAGAGGGTGAGACTCAGAGAGGAGAGGAGGGTAGAGGAGAGGAGGGGAGGAGGAGGGAGAGAGAGAGTCTGTACAGATTTTTCTTCTCTGAGTTCCATAAACTGTGATAAGCCACATTTTATTTAAGGAGCAGAAAGAGGGGGTACACTCACTTTGCATTTAGAAAGTTGAATTTTTATAACAGAAATTCACATGGAACTTTTTCTGTACTTTCAGAATCTTATAGTTATATTTATCAACTGAAACATTTCTTGAGAGTACGTCTTGAAATTAAAGGTTTCATGTGTATGCTTTATCCCTGGCTAGGTGTCTCTTCCCTTTCTTGGACAAAACTCTCACTGACACTAATCTATTTGTGTTCTAACAGAACATCCTGACTCTTTTCCTTGTGATTTAAGGCTTTGTCGTTCAGATAACGGTGAAGCCAGTGCACTTATTTGCACATTGTTCCAAGTTGCCATGAACACATTCTTTGCTTCCTTTTAAAAATAGACTGTGTTTAAATCATTTCAGTTAGCAAAAGAAAAAAAAAGTTGATATTAAGAGTCTTGCTAAAGTTTGTTTTTAGTTTTGAATTCATGCAAAGTTATGATTTAAAGTTCTGCACTTTTCAAGAGCGCAGTGTAGATAGAGTCTGTTTGAGGCAAAGAAGAACGATATTTATCAGAATCATCTACTTTCTGTAAATAAGCATTTGGTGCTTGACTGTTGCAGGTTCCAATGTACAGGAAAAATAGACTTGCCAAATAAATCTAAGGGAGTTATAGTTCACAGAGGTCCAACTTAGGCTCTGAAAATGCACTTGACTAGGATTTATTAAAGAAAAAAGAAAATATAATCTGTAATGTGCAACATAATATTTTGCTTAAGATTGTGGACTCTGGAATCCAGAGTTTTCAAGTTCTGTTTTCAAGTTCTCTGTTTTCAAGTTCTAGTCCTGTCACATAAGCTGTAAGAACTCTTTACTTCATTGATCTTCTTTTTTTTTTTCTTCTCTAAGATAAGGATAAAATTAGTGTATGCCACAGAGGATTGTTATACAGAATATACAAGTTGAGGAGCAGAGTAATAAGACCAGAGCTCACAGTTAGATGGTAAATAAACCTTAGCTTTTGGGAGTTTCCTTGAACTTTCTGAGAAAGGTGCACAGTGAAATCCCATCAAGTTATAAAAACAGAAACAGTACTGCACATGCTAGAGTCATTTCTTAAGGACACTGAAGAAATAAAAAAGGGGCAAATACATTCCAAAAGTAACTGTAGAATATGGAAGAGGTATGTATTGGATTCTATGTGAGCTCAGAAAGACTATGAGGTTATGCAATACTTTCTGGCTGTCATCATACTGTTATAATGACCAAAGCAAAGACTAAGACCACTGGCCTGTCTTTGGTGGTGAGCTCATCTTGGTTCAAATCAGGACTATGCCACTTACTTTATGACTCATACAAGTTCCTTAATGGATCTAAGACCCAGTTTGCCTATCCCTGTCCTTGAGATGGGAATAACAGTGCATACAATAACCAATCAATGAATAATGTAATAATGCCATTTATTATTTTAATGATACTGAAGGCAAAGGGGTTACCATGAGTAAAGGCATGGATGGATACAACAGACTAGAAATAGGTGGAAAATACTCATATTTTCTCATTATTTTTTCCCTTGTCAAGGGTTAAGTCACCCTATATGCATTTATTTAATTGCTTCTATGTACCAAGGCCCTAGCTAATTGTCTGCATAGATGATCTCATCTGATAGCCCACATTCTTCATGCAAATTTAAGATTGTGATCTTCATTTTCCAAATGAAATTACTTAGATATAGAGACGTTAATGACTAAGCCAAGATGGTTGGATAATGAATGGTATTGCTGGCATAAGCGTATAATTCCAAAACCCAGGCTAATGTGGGGGAAACTCTCTTCATTCTTGAGATCTAGCATGTGGCCCATTGAGTGAAACCTCTGGGGGCATCAGAATGTCTTTATTTCCTCCCTTAAAAAGTCAAGGAAAATCAGCTGGTGGTACACGCCTTTAATCCCAGCACTTGGGAGGCAGAGGCAGGTGGATCTCTGTGAGTTCAAGGCCAGCCTGATCCACATAGTGAATTCCAGGACAGCTGGGGCTACAGGGAGACCCTGTCTCAAAAAGACCAAAAACAACAACAACAACAACAACAACAAAAAACCAAACAAAAAATAAAACCCCCAAAAGTCAAGGGAAATCATACATAATTCACATTCTGCTTATCATTCCCTCATTATTACCTTCTTCTCAGATATCAGAACTCCTACGTGTGATTCATCTTGTAAGAACCCCAAACAATGCTAAATATATAGCATATATTCATAAGTCTTCCTTAGTTGAAGGAAAGTAATGAGAAATCCTGGCCAGAACAGTAAGTTCTATAAAGCCAAACAAGGACTGTCTCAGATATCTGTGTAAATACCACATGTTCACTCACACATGCATCTGTTTATACACTATTTATTGGGCATCTACTACATGTTGGCATGCTTCTAGGCACCTGGAACACATTTATGAACAAAAGAAACAAGCATCCTTGACCCCTGAGTGGTGATCCATCAAAAAACCAGATAAATAAATCAACTAGAGCATGTTAGAAGTTGACAAGGTCATGAAGAAAAATAAAGGATGTTGTGGTGAGGATTTGGTGCTCACTAGGGCTGTCAGGGAAAAGCTCAGTGGCCTGGGGGCAGGCAGAAGAGCTGCGCTATTCATAGGGAATAGGCATAGAGTGAAGGGCAGAGCAAAGGCCCAGAGGTGGTGAAAACTGACTAGTAAAGTTAGAAAAATGTGTTCACTTTTGTTATTGTGTGGTTCAGTCTATCAGTGGGGATACGTGGCCTGGGTGCCTCACGAGGAAACCTGGAGTCGGGCAACAATACAATAGGCAGCCTGGAGGTCTAAGCAGAGATTGCAAATGACATCAGTTCCCTAAACTAAGTGAAAAGTCTGGATCTCAAAGGGGCACTCTTACCTTTGTTTTAACTTGTTCAACATTGATTTAGACTGCCATCAGCTGGAAAGCTAGCTTAGTTCCTAACTTGCACCATGTGCTTCGCTATGACACTACCTAACAAATATTTGCTCTCTGAGTTACCAGCCGAGTCTTCAAATTACCCTCCCAGTGTGTGTTGCTACTCAGGAGTGCCTCATAGATGGCCTTAGGCTCGGTGTTTTCTCTAATTGCACCTGCCTGGTTTGTAATCCCTTTTATCTACAACCTTCTGAGTTTTGTGTGCCAGCTGTCCTCCTTCCAGGTCTCCTCCCTAACTAATTCCTTTACGTATACCCCTACTCTTCATGTTTTCTTTTATTATTTTTATTTTATGTGTATGAGTGCATTCCCTGCATGCATATAGGTGCTCTCATGTCATGCAGTGTCCAAAGAGGCCAGAAGAGGGCATCGGATCCCCTGGAATTGGAGTTAAAGATGATTATTAGCCACCATTTGGGTGCTGGAAATCAAACCCAGGTCCTCTGCAAGAGCAGCCAGTGCAATTAACTGCTGAGCCATCTTTCCATCCCTTCTTCATGATTTGTTGTATCAGAACATCAGTTGCTATAAGTACGTACACACAGCACATTCAACTTGCACTTCTGAGCTGCTGTGCCTTTCATGCCTTCCATGTCTGTCATATGCTCCCCTCGAAATCAAACTTGATTTGTAATCATTTTGTGCACTTGCTGGCTTCTTAATTTTAAGCTTATAGGGTGCTCAGTCAATGATCATTCAGTTTGGAACTGTTTTCTTTGGAAATTCCTTGTGTATAGACAGTGGGCTTTTTTGAATTAAGTTGAAACCCTGATAAATTATGTTTATAAGCAGCATCAAGTTTGATACTATTATAAACATTTTTAGCCTTTTCTCATCATAATATTTCACCTCACACACTTGAAATAAAACAAATATTTCATGAATTCTGAAAAGCTCTTAAAATTAGATTTTTTAAGTACTTATCTTAGTATATAATTAGCTAAATAAAGGGAAATCAATTTGAGAATCAATCTGTTGATATTCATTCATATACTGCTTCTATAATATTTTCTTTGGATATGTTACTTGTGACCTTAATAAAATATATACTGTGAGAAATATTTACTATTGTAAACTGTCCTTTCATGTAAGTAATAATACATCTAGAACTTAAATGTTCAAGTGAAGCTTCTGTGCTCTTGGCGCCCCTTCTTCAATTAGTTTCTTGATTAAGTTCCAGGGCTCTTTAGACACCAGCTGCTTTTCATTCTTCCTAAGGACAGCTTAAACCATGGCTCTGAACCACAAACCACATGAGTTTCTTATAATAAAAAGCATACCCCAAAGAATGAACTTGCAAGATTTACACAGAGCAATTTGTAGGATGCTCTCTGATTCAGAGCAATCGAATAAATTAATTTAAAATATTTTGAAGCCTCTCTGTGAGTGGAAGAGATCCAAAGATAGAAATCTTTGTCTCTAAAGTGTAAACAATACATTTAAAACAAAACAAATAGAGGGCAAACCACTAAGCATATAATTCAGTATAACATCCTGCTGCATGGGATTGATATAATAAAAGTGGAACGGACAAACACTGTGGAAGACTCAAAGAAGGAAGTGATAATCTCCAGCTGGAAAGTCATGAAAGGCTGTCCTTAGGCGGAGCATTTGAGGTAGATGTTCTGTAAAAGGTATGGGGATGGTTATAGAAGGTAAAGCAACGCAGGACCAAAATCACCAGTGATGAACCATCAGGGCTTTTCTTCATCCATGATTCTGAGTAGGTGCAGAAAAGATTGAAGAGGTAC